GCCCCTATTCTTGGCCTTTTTCGTGGTGCTTAGGCAGGTGGGGATGGACTGCAGTCCTCCCCACCTGACAGTGGACACTCCAGGGCACCGCTCTGTGTTCCGCTTGGGAGACCCCACAAGGCAGTACCGCGGGCAAGCAGTATCCCTTTACGCATCCCACTCTGTAGGGACTCTCTGGAGACACCTGCTGGAGACCGGTGTGAATAAACCCTTCCTGTCACCGCTTGTGCCCTTGGCCTAAGGCCTGTCTTGGAGAAGGAACCAAAAGGCCAAGGTTAGGCCTGGCTCCTTGTCTCTGTCTAGAATTAAAAAGGTCCCATCGGGAAGTGACACACCCCTGGATAGCCAGGACGAGCCCTGGTCCCCCATCCCAGCCACTGGGACCGCCATGAGCACTGAGCAAGTTCTGCAAGCCCTGATCAGCTGTGTCCGCCCGTGCCCACAGCTCTTCAGCGGAGGAATCCATGACCCACGAAGCCTTTATTAGCTCTTTCAGCTCCATTTAACTACACAAATGGCTTGGTCACAGATGACTGGTCCCAAATTTGCCCGTGATTTTCTGTTAATTTACCGTGGCTCAGTCCCCTGTAATACAGGTAGAGGAGGCATATTTGTCCCCAAACTTCCCTCCTGGGGTTAATCATGCACAGAACAAAACTCCATTTGAGCTACTTAATGATTTGATTTCCTAGGTTTGAAGCACTGTGGCTATAATACTAATGCAGGTCCCTTTTTCCCCAAACTCTAGGTGTTCATGTGTGGAAGAGGACCCGAGCCAGCTGAGCCTGCCCTCCTCCTCCGAGCCCGCCAGCCCCTTCCGCCCGCTGTGGGGCGCCCTTCTCTCCCCGCGCGCGTCCCGGCCGCTGGAAGCCGCGCCTGTCCCTGTCTCGCGGGGGTGTTCCTCACGCACCCTCGGTCTGCACTGTCACCTTCCAGCCCCTGCTGCCCCTGCGACCTCCAGACATCCAGAGCCGGCCCGCAGCGGCGGGACACCCGCACCCTCCCGACAGGACCCCCGCGCCCTGGCTGCTTCGCTTAGCGCCTCGGAGCGCCGCCCGGCTCTGTCTTGTGCACTCTTGGCTTCTGCACACACGCGCATACACGCACGCACACGCACATACACGCGAGGGCGCCCGCTGGTCGGCTGCGGACGCGAAGGGAGCCTGGGCCGCGGGGCCCCGATCCGCGTGGCTGACCCCGCGCTGTTCCGCGCCGCGTGAACGCCGAGCCCCTCGGCCACCGCAGCTGCGCCCCAGGGGTGCTGACATCGCCAGCCCGACTGGAGCTGGCGCGGAAGGAGCGCCAGGCCACCTCAGAGAGCGGTTTGCGGGGGGCTGGCGCCATCTGGCGGAGCGGAGCCAGGCAGCCGGGACTGGCAGGGGAAGGAGGACGGGTCGGCCGGGAAGTCGGCCACAGATGCCCCCACCGCACCCCACCCCACCCTACTGCACCCCACCGCCCACTGCTACCCTTGCGCCCCGCGCACCCATGCTGCCGCCTGGGCCCACATCCACCAGAAGGGACACCCTACCACACCCCTGCGAGAAACCCAAACTGACCGCACCTCATAGCCAGAATAACTACCTTAGCCAGGGCCCAATGTCCTTCCCGAAGCACAGGTTACAGGTCAGGCTCAAACCTGCCCTCTGTTCCCGGTTAGTCCGTCCTAGTCTCTGCCTGCCTGCCTGGTTAGAACCAGTATAGAGGAGATGTTGCAGTTTGTGTTTAGATTGCCCCCCAAAGCCACATGACTATGCGGGAGGGCTGCTAGAGTTCCTGACTGATTTGTGGTCCAGTGCTGGGATTATAGTGGTGAGTGGCACACCCGTCCTAGGGTGTGTGGCCTGCATACAGTATAAGGGGACAGAAAGTTTTCTCTGCTCGTGCTCCTCGCCTTTTGCCTTTGTTGCTTTGCTGTCTTCCACCACCAAGAATTGTTGCCACACACCACCCTGCCACACTCAGCTGAGCGTGGACTGAAACCTCCAGACACTGAGCTAAACCTTTCCTTCCCTGATTTGGAGCATAATGTGTTTTGTCTCAGCAAGGCAAGAAAAGTAACCAACATGAGAGGGAACGAGGGAACGGTGACGATCTCTCTTCCTTAACTGCTGACCAAGACCCTGGCCCAGGATGGTGGTTGGGCTCTGGCTGCAACCATCTGAATGCAAATCCTGGCTAAGCCGGAATGGAACGCTGTGTTTGCAGGGAAAGCAGCTTACTCCCTGACCTTCTGGCTCCACGTCTGTAAGTAAAGGTTGGGTTGGGTTTTGTCACTACACAAAATACCTGAGAAAAGGAAGAACACTTTATTTTGGCTCACAGCTTCAGAAGAATCAGTCCCGGGTGCTAGAGGCCAGAGCAGAAATGTGATACCCGGAGGGTGTGGCGAGGGATGATGGCAGAGCGGCCGGAGAGGGGCCTGTGCTGGTGGCCTTCCTCCATCTGCTTTTCTTTCCTCTGAGCCCCAGCCTACTGGACGGTGCCACCCACTCTCAGGGCAAGTGCCTCCCTCCTTGTCCTCCCTGCCAGTGGTCTCTGGGCATACCTAGGAATGTGTGTTGCTAATTTCCTGGGTGCTCCTCAGTCTTCTCTAGTTGACAATGAAAATAAACTGTCACAGAGATGATTTTAAAATAAATCACTTTCTTCTCTGATGTGGGCAAGTTCTCAATATACACAGTATATCTTACAGTAATGAAACTTGTGCACAAATTATTAGTGTATCACTCAGTGTTTTTCTGGGTAAATAGATAGAACACAAGATATGCAAGTGTATAAGAAGTTACAAGATTGGCTTATGATGGTCAGCCAGAGTCAGATGAGCAAGCATACAGAGAATGTCTGCACTCTAGACGTCAAAGAATTCAGTCCTGTCTAGAGCTCACTGCAGTGTACAGGCAAGTCCCTATCAGGAGACTGATGGGTCTGTCCTAGAAGGCTGAAGAGCCTGCTCCTGGTATCGGGAGCCAAGAGTTTTCATTAGAAGCCAGGAGATGACGCCAAAGCTGAAGGTGAGAACTGGAGCCCCTTCAAAGGGCAGAAGCAAATCGTCCTTCATTTCCCCTTATACCCTCCAGGCAACCTGAACACCCTACAGTGTAGAATTGCTAAACTTCTTAAATTGACACAATAAACCATTACAATTAGTTTTTAAAAACACATCTCCCCTCCAAAATGAAATTTCCACCAGGTGGTGACTGGCTAGGTCTGATTTACTGCTATAAGCCTAGGGCCTAGCCCAGGGTCAACACATGCTATAATGCATGGTTGAAAAAGAAAAGTTTGAAGCCAGAAGACCAGGCCAGGGTCCTAACACTGTCCCATGACTAATGCAACTTCAGTATTAGTCATACTCAGCCTCAGACTCCTAAGAAGGCGTCTCCAGGAAAACCCAGAGGTAACCTGGAAGGTAAAAGCAGAACATAGGAGGAGTCTCAGCCACTGATGCTTACAGGGACGGCAAACTACACACAGCCTGTCCTGAACATAAAGCCTCCCACCGAAGGCCCGTCCTCCTCAGCTCCTTTCACAGAGCACAGAGCCTACTCAAAGGCAAGACACTGCAGTCTAAAGAAGCTAAGCCAGCATCAGAGCCAGACCTAGATGCGGCACATGGCCTGAAACAATCCAAATGGGAACTTAAAATTACACAGATAAATGCTGCAAGACTCCTAAGGGAAAGAGTGGACGGTGTCCACAAGCAGATGGTGACGTAAGCATTGAACTGGAACCTCTAGCAGAAAAACCTAAATGCAATGTCAGAAGTAAACAATGCTATGCAGAAATGAAACCTGTCTTACCGGGGTGCATCAGAGGACCAGACAAGACTGATCAAAGAGTCAGTGAGTTCTGAGAAGCAGCCATAGGAGCAGGGGCGTAGCTCAGTGGTAGAACACATGCTTAGCACCTGCAAGGCTCTGTGCTCAATCCCAGCACTGAGAAAATGCATCAATAGAAAGCACCCAAATGGAAAAGCAAAGTGGAAAAAAATGGAACAGAATTTCCAAAAACTGTGGGCCAGTTTCAAAAGATGAAATGTGTAATGGGACTACCAGAAGGAGAACACAGAGAGAAAAGAACACAGAAATATTCAAGATAATAATAGCTGAGAAGTTTTCAAAATTTAAGACATATCAAACAACAGATCCATGAATCTCAGAAAATAGCAAGCAGGATAAATATCAAAAAAAAAATCTATGGCTGGTCATATCGTTCCAGCTATGGAAATAAAGGCAATGTCTTAAAAGAAACCAGAATTTTAAAAAAGAACCTTTAGAGGAGCAAGGATAAGAATTACAACTTTTATAGCCAGGCATGGTGGCACACGCCTATAATCTCAGCACGTGGGAGGCTGAGGCAGGAGGATCACTGAGCAAGTTCCACGCCAGCCTGAGCTACAAGGTGAGTTCAAGGCCAGCCTGAACTGCATAGTAAAACCCTGTCTCAAAAAGAAAAAATTACAACTTCTCAGAAACCATGCAAAGAAGACCAGACTGGAGTAAAAGAAAATATCTCTAACCTAGAATTTGTATCCCTCAAAGGTGAAAACCAATAGGGATGTTCTTCCACAAACAAAAATTTAGGGAACCTATCAGTTGTCCATGTGTACTTCAGAGAGGAGAAAAAGTATACGACCCCAAACTGTGATCTACAAAAAGTGAGACGCTAGAGAAGGAATGCATGGAGCGAAGATAAATACATGAAGCGCCTCAGCACACTTCCCTCAGGAAGTCTTCCCTGCCCCACCCACACCAGCACCCTCCTAGGAGTCCAGGAGCACCCTCACTGCCTACGTCACATGTACTGGAATGGCCCGTCCTCTCCCCCTCAGGCTGCCAGCACTCTATCCCCAGAGCCCAGAGCATTACAGGAGAGGAGAGGGCAGGGGAGGAGGAGGAGGGGAGGGAGGGAGAATGGGAAGGAGGAGGGGAGAGCATGAACAGAGGTGGGGGGGGTGCTGAATGGCAAAGCATCCGCACCAACACAGGAGCCGACTCTCAAATAGCGATCTCTTTATTAGCAGTTGGGCAAGAAGATTCTAGGGCTGCCTCTGCCACAGGGCTCACACTCTGGAGTCCCTGGGCCAGGGTCTGCACCCTTCAGGTCAAACTGGAGGCACACATCCCTCTGTCACAGGCTGTCCCTCTGACCTTGAAGGTTCCAAGCTGGGGAGCAGAGATGAGACCACAGGCATAGCATGCAGCTGCCATGCTGCCCTCTGAGCTTACCGCTGCCCGTGTTCCCAGAGTATGGTCTGGATGACAAAAAGCCTTGAGGGGAAAGGCTGTGCTATGTGAAACTGGGATGGAAGCTGGGCTCCTCTCCTCCTGACGTCAGCCCGGATGGTGCCAGGCCTAGGGCTGGCTGTGGGCAGAGTGCTTGTGCAGAAGCTGTACACAGTCAGTGTGTGGGAGATGCTAGTGTCACAGCTCCTTGGCCTTCTTTAACCAGGTTGAGGCCAGCTGTGAGTAAATCATGCCAGTGCCACCTCTCACCTGGCAGGGTGGGCATGGCTTGGGTCTTCCTCCAGCCAAGGTCATGTAGACCCCTGCTATGACCCCAAGACAGGCACCCCCTGATTCATGGCAGTTCCCGCATCTGTCCACCCCCTGCTGCCTCTGTGATCCTGTGACTCAAAGTGAGGTCAGCAGACAGCAGTGGCCCTGCCCAGGAACTGTCAGAAAGGCAGAGAAACCCCTGCAAGGGTTCAGTGTCAGTGCCACAATTAAGTCACAGAGACAACCTGTAATGACCACAAGCCCTTCCGGAAGTTTAGTGGAGGCAGTGTAAGGAGCCCAGAGCAGCTGCCCCTCCTGCCCCCTGGCTGCAGGCACTGGCCCCTCACCAATAGGAAAGGCTAAGCCTTCCCAGCCCCGTGCCAGCTCAGTGTGTCACTGCCAAGGGTGACCTCCTCCTCGGCCCAGGCCTCACGCGCCATCCTGCTCACCTGTGCTCCTAGCAGCTTGTGAAGGAAGTTCTGACACCTGAGCTAGATCTGACACCCGAGTCCTGCGCTGAGTCACAGGTCAGGTGGGATAAGCTGCAGGAGACAGTGGAGAGAGGTCAGGGTCCAGGCCCCAGGTCACATTCCCAAACCACAGCTCCGAAGCAGGGGCAGTCCCCACCTGCACCCTGGTCCCAGGGCCCTTCTCTGTGTTGTCAGGCACTGTGAGAGCACAAGACAGGACAGCGGCCCCAGGAACTACTCACCCCTGCCTGTGGGTGCTGTGTGTTTCTGGGGCCTAGACACAGCCACCACACTGACCCACATCCCCAGCATACTATTTTTTATTTTGAGGCAATGTCATGCATGGTACATTGCCCAGGCTGGGCTCAAATTTGCCATCCTCCTGCCTTGAGCTCACAGAGTGCATCTGCCCCAGGCCCACTTGCCCCTGTGTTGAACACCAAATGGAACATCACTGGTGCAGACCCAGCAGCTGCACCCCGAAGCCCATCGGTAGCAGGATCCACTCGCTGAGCAACTCACCTTCGCCTCACCTGCTCTATCCGATCTTGCATGACCTCGCCCATCACCTCGCCTGGCACTTGGAAGATGCGGGTGTGGCTGCAAAATGCCATTCAGATGTGTGGGTGCCGAGTGTCCTTCTGATGAGGTAAAATGGAACTGCCAAGCCAGATGCCCATCACCATGAGCTCTGGAGCTGGCCATTGCTCTCTCGGAAAAAAGGCTTTTACCAAGCCGGCACAGCACAGTGCCCTGAAAAGTCATGCTACACAGACAGCCAGCGCTTCCAAGAGTTAGGGAAATGGGTACCCGCAGCTCACCTTCACCCATGTCGGGAGGACGGTGGCCTGTGCACTTTTCCCTTCTGAAGCCCACCCTTAACTCCACAGTCTGCTCTTACATTCACTAGCCTGCCACGTTCACTACGCTTTAGAGAAGCATCGAGAAAATTATATCTCAAGCAAGTGACAGGCCCCGCCTGGCTTCTGTTTTTGCTGTACTTCATCACACTTGGCCAGCCTTCCACTCTTTGGCCCACTTCACATCGGTTTTGATTCCATGTTCTGCTCTTCCTCAAAGGCCACCATTCTGTCCTCTGAATGCCCACCGCTGTGTCCACTGACATTTCCTTCCTGGCTGATGCTACGTCCTAATGCTTTGGGGCATCCCACAGGGACCCTGGCAGTGACACCTTCTCCAATGCCCTCAGCCCATGGCAGAGAAAATGTGAGAATGAACATGACTCCTGGGGGGTGGAGCCAAATGTGGTCCAGAGAGACTCAGGACACCAAGAAGAGGGAGTATCCTCAGTCCAGGGAGGGAAGGAGCCCTCAGAACAGGAGAGGATACAGCCTGCAGCCAGAGGCACAGGTGTGTCCAGGGCACAGGGTTCTCCTACTCTCCAAAGCGCCTGTCCTGACCCCTGTGCCTCCGTAATGCCCTGCTCAAGAGCCAGTACAACAGTTACAGCCTTTGTGCGAGAGATCACCTCTGAGAATCCAGCAGCAGGGCCCATGCTTGCGTGACGTGGTGCTCAACTTCCTGGAAGTTGTTCACTTTCACAGGCCTCAACCATCTAGCTTACAAATTGGGAGCTACATCTTGGTGTTTTTCTCTTCCCTGTCTTCCAGGAGGGTAGCACACATGAATGACCAGTGCTTGTCCATGAAAAAGTAGTGATCAGTGCCACTTCACCAAGAGATATGGGTCCCCTGACTGTCTGCCTTCTGAAGGTAGGAAGAGAGGCCATTACTTTAAAATCTCCAAAGAAAATCCAGAGTGCAAAAATTACTATGTGTGAATAATTGACAGGTTCCTAAAGCCTGTCTCAAAATCTTAAACCCAGTTAGACTGCACAAACAAGATTTTAAAACCTTGCAAGATACCATTCGTATGGCACAGGACATTAAGGCCAAGGAACAGGACATGAAGAGTTTCACACAACCACCTCAGACAAAGAAAACCAGATTAAAATCAACATCAGTGACCTGAGGGACCTTGGCAACTTGCTCTCCAAGAGTCTCCAACACCACCTCAGCCACCCCTCCCTGTAAGTACAGACTGTGCTTTGAATGTTCCTGAAATGTGGACACCTTTGGAAAAGATTAGGCAATGAGGACCCCATGCCCCAAAGCAAAACCACATTTTCTCTGAAAGAGACTGAGAAACAGACCTGAGCAAAACCAACCTGGTGTAGGAATGAGCAAAGAACAGGAAACCAGAGCACCTCTTTGCTCTTTTGGGATCATTTAAGCCCAGTCCAGCAGGTGCTGGAAGGAAAGGGAAAGCCTCCAACCCACAGAGAGGCAGCCCCAGAACCTGTACACTCTGCCCTGAGACAGCCTCTTCAGAGCCCAGAGAGGCTGGCAGGCAGGGCTGGGGCTGCAAGAGAGCAGGAAGTCCCTGCGGCCCCCTGCAGGGCTCCTCACAGCTCCTCACTGTGGGTGCTGGGAAACCCACACAGCTAGCTGCAGATGAGAGCAGGCTTTTGCATTTTAAAAGCTTATTTCCTTGTAGCTCTTTAAAGTGCAGTCACTTCTGAACAATTCAAGTACAAAACTAAGAGAATTCTGAAATGTGTTGGGAGGTGTTTAGGAAACAGAGCAAGCCCAGTTTCCCAAACCCTCAAGTCATTTTCAATGCAGGAATGAGCTGGGCTGTGGAGATACCAAAACCTTCCCTGAAGACCCCAAAGCAAGGCCAAGAAATCTCAGCCAAAGGAGGCTGGGCCTGAGAGAAGAGCAGCTGTGGGTGCCTTTGGCTGAGGACTTTGGGGTAAGGGGCCCCCCTCCTGCGCTCAGTGGGAAGACACGCTGTACCTCCATCTTATGAACTGGATTCTGGTTCTCTCCTCCAGGACGTCCTGACTCAAGTTTGCACACAAATCAGCCTTTGAGAGTTGGTGCTTCACCTGGGAAACAAGGCAGTAGTCCATGTGATTACTGGCCACTGTGGACCTGCCCCACGCTACTCGACAACAGCTAGCTAGAGAACTGAGCCCACCTCTCGCAGAGGGCTGTCCTGCCTCTCCCCACACTCTCTGCCCCACGACCATCATCCCAGCCTCTGTTACCACATCTCGGGTCACATGCACGTCTTCGCCATGAGAGGGAGTGGCATTGGTGCACATCTTCTCCTTAATGCCCTTAGAAGCCTCCTCTTCTGTCTGAAAGTGAGCAAGTTCCATCTGAACATGTCATTTGTCCTCCCCTTGCACAACACAAGTGCCATGTGTCTGTACACACGTCCTCCATGGCCCCAATTCCCGCACTAAACTCTCCCATCGTGCCTTTCCTATGAAGCCCAGGGAGCTCCCCAGGACTCCCAAGGTATTGCTGGGACAGCCCTGGGCCGAGATCCCTCCATCAGGAGGCTCGGGGAACAGGGCCAGTTAACAGTGATGCTAGTGCATCTCTTACCAGGACAAGAGTCCCAGAGTTCCCTGGACTCACCTGTAGAGAAGCATTCTCCAGTCCAGATCCCCACCCTGCAGGAGATCAACTACAGAATTTAGGGCACCTGAGTCAGAGAGGAACCTTACTCACTTTTTTCAACCAATGCTCTAGTACAGATACAGTCTCACTTTCCACAGCCTCAATGTCCTGGAACAAATGGATGAGTTAATGACCTTGGAAGCTAGGAACACAGCTCTCCTTACCCCCAGCACTCTCACCAGAACTTAGCTATTATATGATCTCTCTAACATGCAGTAAGGGACACAGGGAGAGAAGATGGATGAGAAACTATTCCACATGGCCACCACCACCTCTGCTTACCGAACTGATCTTCTGTGGGAATGGCAGTCCTACACCTTTCCGGACAAGAATGTACATAATCCATGCTGTAATTATCATCTTCGAACTTATCCCAGGCCTCCTGCCTGGCACTCTCCTTCCATTGAAGCTGTCTGATAGTGCCTATGGGACAGGGAGGGTACGGAAGGAGGTGTGTCCTGATTGGCTGATGGGTGATGATGTGACAATGACCTCCCTTAACCTCCAGGTCAAAGGAGATGGAAAAGAAAGATCAGGGGGTTTCTGTCTTAGTGATGATCCTAGCTCAGAAGTGGAGGGGGTGGAAGGCAAGGGTAAGCAACTGCACTATGAGGCCAAGTGAAACGTAAAGGGCACTGCCCAAATTCTAGAGGATCTCCGGGCAGGGCAGGAGGTGAAATTGATGGCTGCATTCTGAGCAATGCTGCAGCAAAAAGAGAGTTCACAAACTGAAAGAATAAATTTGTAACAAAATGATCTGAACCCTCATTCAAAACAATGTCAGAAGTATTTCCTGTTGTTATCATCACATATTGGAGAGGAAAAGCGCTTTATTGTGCACCAAGAAAAAAATCACACCAAAGATCAGGAGGCAAATTCTCATCGAGGGTATGTCCTTTATTTTTGTCTACTTTATATAAATGATTCAAATCATTAAAATGTACTATAAACAATAAGAAATATGGATATAAACGGTAAAAGTGCCACCTCTTTAAAAGGTGTTTGAGTGTTCTGGTTTTTTTTTTTTTTTCTGTTTGGTGAAAGAATAACATGAAAACAAGGAGAGATTTGTTTCATGACTTCAGAATTGGGGGCATGAAAGGAGCTCAGATCTGTTGCAAGGACATTCAGAGTTCAGAATAACCTAACACAGAACCCAAGGAAAGGGCCAGCTGCCCTCAGCACTACTCGCCGGAAGCTGAGACCTCAGCTGTCCTCCAGGTCCCACAAAGCTGCCGTCCTGTCTCTGCCATGAGCACATCAGCAGCCTCTGGCCCTGGTCTCCTTGTGTTAGGGTGGAGGTGCCTCTAGTTTTCCCCCAGTTCTAATAGTCCATAGAAATACTCATTCTCATTTTTCTTAGGATAATAGAAAACCTGTATCTCTCTCCCTAATGTTCTTAACATAGCACTGTGTCTCCTCCCTTTTCCATCTCAATGTTGTATCTTTCCTGATTTGGGGCGAGGCTGAGAGCTGAAACAACAAACGCCCAAATGCAAGAAGTTTGTGTCTCACTGGTGCAGCTGGTCTTCGTGGCAGCTGTGCTCCCCGAGGTGACTCAGAGGTCCAGGGAAGCTCCATCCCGCACTCATCCTTCTCAGGGCCTGGCCTCCGTGACCACCAGAGTAGGGCAAGGGAGCTACAGGGACCCTGAGGCAGCCCTTCCGGTTTCAGCTCAAAGCCCTTGGGCCCATTCCCCGCCCCGCCCCAGGCGCCAGCCTAGCTCCACGGGAGAGAGAGGACACTGGCAGATGAGACGATCTGTCTCTGTGTCTGCCGCTCCTTCTGAAACTTTCGTGTCCATCCTTATCGAAATACTCTTAGGTTTTAATAGTAAAACATTAATGTGACACAAACGGAAACTACATAGAAGGACAGATTTGGAGACGTTTTACCTTCTCCCCCACCCTCCAGCCTTGTCCCAACACACTTCGGGAGTAAGTTTCAATGGTTTCTAGGACGTGTGTCCTGTGTTTATGTTGTCAAATGAAGCAGAAGCAGAAACGCATTCTTGTTTTTGTTACAATATTAAGAATGCATTTAGTAAAAGATACAAATCCATGAACAGCTCACAAAAATGTCACACGTACTTTCGACCAATTCCCAGATCAAGATTTTATGTATAAACATTCCATTTTTAATGCACGATGTAGCACTTCTAATATTTCAGCAGACCTCTGGGCAAAGCCTTTTGACTACCATTGCCATAGTATGTGCTCTTTCCTCACTAGCTGCTTAGTTGTTGTTGCATAAAACTAGTTTGTTATTTCATCTTTGCGTAGTATCCGCTGCGTTAACTTTATACCAATTATTTATCAAATTTACTATTGGCATGCATTTATGTTATTGCTAGATTTGTGTTTTTAAAACTGAATGCCACTGTGAACATTCATAGCGTCTTTTGGTTGGCATAATCGCTAAACCTTCCAAGTATTGAACAGGGATTGGAATTGCTGGGTCACAGCCTTATGTACAAATGAGGCAAGGTGGTCGTGCCAATCTGCTGCTGTAACAACTACTTCCTATTTCTACCCACACTCAGTATTGTCACATCTGTAACTTTAGACAATCAATTGTAGAGTAGTGGTAATTAATAATAGTTTAATTTGCAGTTAACTGATTGTTAATAACGTTAAGCGACTTTATATCCACTCACAGACACTTTAAAGTATGTTGTGTGCATTAAGTGTCATTTAAAGACTTGTGCCCTTTATTGAACTGTGGGTCTTTTCCTTCTTGGCTTGTAGGATTTCTTTATGTATTGTAGACAGTATTCTATTATCAAACACATACACTGAAATTATTATATCTCACTCTATAACTTGCCCTGCATTCTTTTAGTATTGTCATTTATGGGGCAGATACTCTCATTTTTTAAAGTGAGTTTTATTGAGATGCTAATACAAAAATAATATAAAATTCAGCCATCCAAATTTCTCATAGCTTTATAGAATTATGCAACTAATACAGCAACCCAATTTTAGAATATATCCAGCACCCCAAAAATGTATCATGCTTATTTTAAGTCCACTCCTGTTTTCATTCTTAACCTGCTGATCTGTTTCTAACTATAGATTTGTTTTTTCTGGATATTTCATACAAGTGGAATTACATCATATTGTGCCTTAGTTATCCCTCTATGTTTTTGAAAGCCATCTGCATCTTACAGCTACCAGTAATCTATTGCTTTTTATTGTAGAGTAGAGCAGCTACCTTTTGTGTATCCGTTACCAGCGCACGAGAATGTAGAATTATAGACCATTTCCAGTATGGGCTATTGAGGTGTATGAACTAATGGTCAGCTTGTAACCCCCAGGTGAACAGAGTCAGCACAGTGCTGGGCTGAGGACTGTCGCCAACAGCATGAAGAAGAACTGGAGGGGAAGATGGTGCTGTTGATTCCCCTGAAGAAGCTTGTCGTGCTGGCTTTCTTGATAGGAACTCAGTTGTTCTCATCATCAGAGGAGCTTGGATCCTCACCATCACTGAGGGTGACTGCAGTTCTCTTCAGGGGAACTCTGGTCCTTACCAGCGCAGAACTCTCGGTCTGCTGGCACAGCTCCTTCACCCCACTAACACCGACTTTTCTAGCTTCTGCCATTGGCCTTTGGGCCTTCCCAGGGAAGATCCTTGATATAGACTTGCATGACACATTGCCGCGGGCCCTAGGCCTCCAGCTCGACTCGTGGGTGACATTGCCATGGGCTCTAGGTCTCAAGCAGGACATTGCCCCATAGGATCCAGGTCCTCAGTTGGATTCTTTCAGTCTGCAGTGTGTGAACAAATTTCCTGAACTCTTTTGTGTTTAACAATGGGTGACTACTATAAAATAATCCTATAAATGATGTGCCCTGTATTAAATCTTTTCCTGACTATGACAGCTATTATGAGTAACATTGTAGTCAACGTTTGGGAAGAATAATCTTTTTGATTATTTTATTGCTCTTAGGTAGATTCCTAGAAGGGGTTTGGTAACTGTGTTAATACTTAAAAAAAAAAAAAAGCAACTTTACTAAAACACAATTCACATTCCATAAAATTTACACAAAATATACAACTCAACAGCTTCTAGTATATTTACAGAAATGGGCAATCATCACTTCAATCATCTTAGGATTTTTCAACAGTTCAGAAAAGAAACTCTGTACCTATGCACAGTCAATCGCACTGTCCCTCAATCCTGCCCTCAGCCCTAAGCTATTGCTAATACGTTTTCTTCTTGTAGATTTGCTTATTCTGGATATTTCAAATGAATAAAATCATATGATATCTGGTCTTTTGTGACTGGCTTCATTAACACAATGATCATCTATGTTGTGGCATGCATCATTTCTGTTTATTCATTTCTTTTTATTTTTTATTCATCTCTTTTTATTGCAGAGTAGCATTTTGTTACATGGAGGTACCACATTTCATTTATGCTCTCAGTGTCTAACACTTTGTGATGTGAATAATGCTGGGTGATCATTTGTATATGAATTATATAAACATGTTTTCATTTTTCTTGGATTTATACTGAGCAGTAGAATTGCCATATCATGTTCACTCTTTGTTTAACGTTCTGAAAACCGTGATTTCTGCGTGTCAGTATCGGTTCATCCTCCCACATCACCAGCAACCTTACCGCCCGCTGTTTGATTTCAGCCACCTTGATGAGCACGAAGGGTGTCTCCTCGTGATTTCAATTTCTATCTCCCAATAGGTAATCATTCCGAGCATCTTTTGCACACTTTCTTTGGAGAAAGATCCTTTCCCATCTTATAACTGTATTTTTTGTGTTTTGTTTTATGATATTGTTGAGTTTTACAAGTCCTTTGCATATTCCACATACGAGTGCATAGCAGATACATTTGCCATTCTCACACTCTGTGACCTGTCTCTTCATTTGTTGGTAGCGTCCTATGAAACACAAAAGTTTTGAATTTTGATGAAGTCCAATTTATCTTTTTTATCATTGTTGCCTGGACTTTTTGGGTCATATTTAAGAAACCATTGCTTAACCAATGATCATGAAGATTTTGCCTGTATTTCTTCAAAGAGTTTAATAATAAAGCTCTTGGGTATATGCCTGTCATCCAGTCTGAGGTAATTTTTGTAGAAGGAAGAATATCCAACTTCATCCTTTACATGTGAATATTCAGTTGTCTCAGCTCTATTTGTTGACAAACATATTATTTCGCTATTGAATTATTTTGCTGCTCTAATCAAAAATCAACAACCATAAAATTAAGAGTTTATTGCTGCACTGTCCATTGGCTTCCCTGTCTATCCTCATGCCAGCACCACAGTCTTAATTACTGTAGTTTTCATTGTAATTATCTTTTCCTTATTTAATTTTTAATTTTTTTTGGTATAATTGATAAATAAAAATCATACATTTAAAGCATAAAACATCACATTTACATTGAAAAATGATTTCCTACAATCGAGTTAATTAACACATCCATCACCTCAGATACTATAGCAAT